CATAAGCTTTCAGGCGTTCCCACGACTCTTCGCATGATTCATGTTGACCTTTATCCTCATTCTCGTAATCATTCCACGGTAACGGCCAGTTCGCGTCGTGGGGTTGCCTATCTTTGTGTTGCTGCCGCGCAACCGCCTCCCCTTGAGGCGGCGACTGGGCAGCCGGCCATGGATTCGCTCCTTCAGAATGGCCGAGTGTCCGCGGTTGCGCAGAGGAAGGATTCAGGCAAAGGAAGAGGCGGCGTAGAACGCTGCTCCCTCCTCTTCCGCAGGCATGCGATAGCCTGTCACCCATTTGTCCGGCCCTCAGTGGCTCGCGGATGTAAAAACACCTCCCCCGATCACGCCTCCCTTCCCACCCGCCCCCCTCCGCCCTACCTTTGCCTCCTTTTGCCACCCTACGCAGGCGAACAGTGGCCGCAGCGTCAGACACGATAACATTGGGAAGACAACAGCAACAGCAGCAGCAGCAGAGTATGACACAAAAACAGGCGAGGCAGCGTGGAAAGAACAGAGGCCCGCAAAGCACAGGGAAGCGGTGCCTCTGCATCCTCTTTCCCTCTTGGAGCCAGCTCGGGGGCCGAATTGGCCCAGCACCGGTTCCGGCCAGCAGAAAAGGGCGAGAACCGGGACCCCATTGTCGCCACCCCATTTGTTTTAAGTCGGGCATGTCCCTCTACAGGGGGAATATTCAAAACTAGTCTCACATATGTATGTATGTATATATATATATACATATGGATTAAAAAAAGTCGAGAGATATACCTTTGGTATTTTTGAACAGTTTGAGTGCATTTTTCTGCTATTTCTAAGTGTTCGTCCAAAATCCGCCTGTAGGGGGACATGCCCGACATAACACTTGTTGGATTTTCTCGGTGCCCATCCAGCGCAGACCCTCCGGCGGCTTCCAATTTTTCCCCCTCTCTCTTTTCTGCGTGGCTCGGACGTTGGCCCTGCGCGATCGCTGCGACGCTGCGTTCTGCCACATCAGAAAGCAGATCAGCAAGACCGACAGAGGATCTGCCCCTCTGCAGAAGGGATGTTCAAACATAGTCAAAACACAGTCTGGGGACGATGCTTTCTCTTGAGTAGGTTTGGGCATTGTTGGTAAGTGGTTTGAGCATGTTTTATTTCTCGTCCCGAACCCGCCTGTAGGGGGACACGCCCGACCTAAGACTTAGCAGTTTGGCTGAGCGCGTGCCCTGAAAGGGAGGGAAGCGGGGCGAGTAGGCGAGAGCAGGTAGAGATGCCCTCGCGGGTGTAGAAGTGAGCATCATTGCGTCCACCCCTTGCGACAGCAAAACCGCGGTGTCGATGCATGCCCGAGGAAAAACATGACCATCGAGCTCGACGAGAAGCAAACCGAACCCACGTCAGCCCTTCACGACAAGCATCGAGCGGGACAAAGCATCGCTCACGGGCTCGGGCATTTCACCTCCACCGAGCCTCGGTGACTGCACGAGCTGGCAGCACGAAGTGTCCATGCCTGCCACACTAGGTGCTCCGTGTGAGAAAGGCAGTCGGACAAGAATAGGTCCTCATCCTGTTGTTAACAGCCTCGAACGTATCCCTATCCCTAAGATTGACACGCCAAAAGGCGATGACCATCTTAGGGATTCGCCCTCAAAAAATAAGGGAAACCGTAAAATTGGCATCGTGACGAGGAGGTGCCCAGCATAGGGATAGGGATATCTTCCAGGCTGGTAAACCTCCGCGCCGCGCAGCAGCCGGCTCAGGTGATCGTGCGGGCCCGCCCGGCCCTGCAGCGGGTTACGGTGTGCACCTCTCCGACGTGCGTGCCGGAAGTCACCGAGCGCGTTCCACTGCTCGCAGAGTGTCTACTCGCAGACGCCCGACAAAAACACATGTCTGCTTCTCTGTGCAACATAAATCGTAGATCCCCCGCGGGATCCCCGAGGAGGTGCCCAGCATAGGGATAGGGATATGTTCCAGGCTGGTAAGTAATGCATATGTTCCAGTTTGCAACTGTGAGCGTTCCAGGTTGGTCGGGCGTTCTCTTTCGGCGGGGCCCTTGGAAAACGGGAGACAAGTATACACCACACCACCCCGACGTCGTCCCTGACCCCAAAAAGAAATCGTGGGATTGAACAAAAAAACAGCCCGCCACTGGTGATGTCTATGTTCCAGTCTGCGACTGTGGGCGTTCCGGGTCGGGCGGGCGTGCTCTCTCGGCGGGGCCCTCGGGGCGCGGGGGTGCGGCCCCGCGGGCGGTGGGCGGCGGCCTGCCTGCGCCCCCGTGCCTCGGTTCGCCACGGGGGCGCCCCGCCTTTTCGCACTGGCCGGAGAAGAACACAACGCCATGAACATAAACTGTTGGCGCTCCCTCCACGGCCCAAGGGGCCGACAAGACGGCCCGAGGAGCCCTCAAGACGGCGCCAAGACAGGGGCAAGCCTTCAAGCACGCCCCCAAAGGCATCCAAAGAGACTCCCAGCATGGTTTTGCCAGGTTCTTAGGGGCTCTCGGGCATGCTCTTTTCGG